CCGAGTGCTGCGAGATGGAGGAGGAGACGGGCCCACCTCCCCCCTCCCCCGCCGAGCACCACGCCCTCCCCCAACATCTCCACCAACACAGCCACCACCTCCAACAGCTCCCCTGGCGGAGGGAGCAGCGGCAGCGCCAGCAGTCAGGTAAGACGCAAGGCGCTCCTGCTGCGGACGTCGAGATTCTACCGCCCGTCCAAGCAGGCGTCCTACAGCACCACTCCCGCAGGAAGCTCTCCGCAGCCGCCGCGTTGCTCCGTCACCACCAGCATCCTGCGCAAGACGCACCCCGAGATCTCGCTGAGGAACAAGAAGCGCGTGATCCACATGCTGGCGGTGGTGGTGGTGGAGTTCTTCGTGTGCTGGACGCCCCTCTACGTCGTCAACACTCTGGCCTATTGGTTTCCTCAGCACGTGTACCACTGGCTGGGGATGGACGGCGTGGTGGTCATACAGCTGCTGGCGTACTGCTCCTGCTGCTGCAACCCGCTCACCTACTGCTTCATGAACCATTCCTTCAGGAGGGCCTTCCTCAACGCCGTCGGCTGCGGGAAGGCCTCCCGCCGGAGCAACACCTGTGACGACGCCAGGTTCATCTCCAGGAAGAGCTAAGGCGGCCTCGATCTCGGGCACTCGCTCGCTGTTTCTCTGCTGTTCTCTTACCCTTTATCTGTCCTTTCCCCCTCGTTAATCTCTCTCCCTTTCTTCCCTTTCACGGCCCCTTTCCCCCGTTTGTCTCTCCCTCTCGTCCCTTTCCCTTCTTTCATCCCCTCTCCTTCTCTTCCTTTCATCCTCCCCATAAATCTCTCTTCGCCTGTTCATCCAGCTCTCTCTTGCCACGTCTTCCTCCGTCGCGATTTCCACTTGTCTGGATCACGTGCCCATATCCCCCGAAGAGACAAGTTTTAAGCGATATCTTCCGTGTCCTTCTCGGCGTGGGTAATCCAGACACGACCTGGCGCTCAGGTTCACGCTTCACACACGAACGCGCAGGACGACGGTCTTGTTAAACGTGCACGGTTGGACGTGATTAAAAAGAACGAAAGAAAATCCCGATGATAACGTCACGTGTCGCTAAGCTGATATTATCAAATAAAGATGATGCCGGAAAATGTGTTCTGTGAATCAGATAATTAGAAACCTTTTGTAACAAAGACTTGAATCCTTCATCACGAATCTTTATTGTACAATTAATTAGTGACGTGATTAATAGACAAATGACAGTGGTGAAATAAACACTTGTGTGGTGATAAACGCGAAGAGAAGAGATGTTAAAACAAAGGAAAACAAGTGTCCATAAAGGATAATATTTTCATTGATGTTAACAAATTCCTGGCAAAAAATAGCGTGTTATTGTATCGTAGCGTAGTATTTTCGATAGCGGGACTAGCGTAGAGTTAGCCAAGTGAATGTCTAGCAAATCAGTCAATGTGTCACCCTTTCTTTGTGTGGAAAAAAGCATGATGAGATTCTCATAATAAAGACGAGGCTCACGACTATTTGATTCATTCGCGCTGATGAAATGTATGCATCGGTGCTTCCCTTTCAGGAATATATGATGTATCTATATGTACAACTATAATACATGCCCACACTCACACACGCAAACACACACACACACACACACACAGACACACACACACACACACACACACACACACGCACACACACACGCACACACGCACACGCACACACACACACACACACACACACACACAACACAACACACACACACACACACGCACACGCAACACACACGCACACACACACACGCACACATAGACACCACACATTAACACCACACACGCACACACACGCACATAACACACACACACACGCACACACATAGACCGCTTTTTTTTTTTTGAGTGGTAGCAGCCGTTTTTGATATCGACCGATTTTTTTTTCACATTACCTTAGAAAATAAGCAATTGTGACAAAGGTTACAGATAATAAAATATGAATTATTTTCTGAAAGATTAAATTTCACGCAACGAGACCAACCTTCATTTTTTCGGAATAATTTGATAAATCTGGCAAGCGTCCAAATCTTTTTTTTTTTCATACAAATAAATAAGCATGATATGCCGTTCATATGGAGTATTTTCTTTCCTTTATGTTTTCAGTATATATAGTTAGTTTGATCTATGAGCAAAACATTTCGAAAATGCAAACCTCCTCACCTAAATGGGGGTAGGATTGCCAAATGATCCCGATCACCACCAAAATTTTATGGAATATTAGTTATGCTAAGACACACCTCAGGTAATAAATAAATAAATAAATAAATAAATAAATAACTAAATAAATAAATAAATAAAATAAATAAATAAATAAAAATAAAATGTTCATAACTTTTGGTTAGAAAAAAAATCCTGAATCCTAACTGTGGTCCACATCACCACCAAAGTGCAATCGGCATCTGTTATGTTAAACCACACCTTTGGCAAAAACATTAAAATGTGTTCATAACTTTTAGAAACATTAGAAAACACAAACAAACAAAAAAACCGAACAAACAATCAACAACCAAGCACACACACAAATGGAATATAAATAAACATAAGGGTATGAGATATGCGAAAATGATCTATATATCCTTACATACCTTATGAACATATCTTTACACCGCCCTGTACTTGTATATCGTCTTTTCACGGGAGTCGTTTTTTTTAGTTTAGTCCTTTATTTACCACCCTGGCTAACTGCACAGGCGTGGGCAAGCTGTAGTGCATTTGATACATGGTCAAAGCATTATATAATAGTATTACAGAATAAATCTATATCATAAAATTATTACGGTCTAAAATATATCATTTTAAAGGAAAAGAACGATCAGTAATTTATCTACTCATCTGTCAAGCCCGCATACGGCTTGGGCGTGGAAAGGCAATGTAACATTTGATATGTGGTCATGTGATACTACATTCCAAAATTAGGATATAACATAATTATATCTTCCAAGACATCAGATGATATGAAGTAGTTACATAGTTCTCCATACCCCATGCTAGGTGGTCTGAAAGGCTGTATTACATGGCACTCTGAGATATAATGTACAAGTGTTCGCTTATATTCTTCATTGCATAATTTACACTTCGTTTCTTCAACATTACAGGCTGTACTGACCTGCCAGTACAATCTATATCCCAGCCTGATTCTTGCGGTCACAATATCACACTGTCTTGTTCTTGTTTTGTATAAACCATAGATGAAAACATCTTGCATAAACCTTGTCATATGTCTCTTATGACTCAACAGCTTTCAAGCCGTTGAGAATTAATCA